ATACTTTGAACAATATATAATTTGAAGTGTTTTTTTAATTGGTAAATTTGTGTAAACATTTATACACTAGATATATAAGTCAGGGTACATTATATTTTAAAATAATTTAAAAAAAAATTATTACATAATTTTATCTAATTCTACTATTCAACCGCTACAATGCTACCAATCAAGCTTATATTGAAATTGTTCTCTACTATTCAACCGCCTTTTCTAACCACTGATTCTAACCGCTTTGTTGCAAACGACCATCTGTTCAACCGCTTGTTTTAAACAGAGTCACGAATAAGACCCTATATGTTTGTCTCAAACATATGTTTTTGCTCAATTGTAAGGTTTATCTAAAATTTGTAAAACTCTTGTTATTTGTTACCTTTAAATATATATAATGCATCAAAGTTTTTTTATTTGTTTTTTAAAACTGAAACATTTTTTACGTGTTACGTTGAACTAACATATGCATGATCATGGATGGATCAGCAAGGTGACAAATGGTTGTATCTACCCCGGGTGGACTTTAAAAATCTTTATTTGACAATTGAATCCCATGTAAATGCATACTATGATGAGGAGTTTGATGTCCCCTGTAAATATTTTTTCTAGATTCATTGTGCACAATTAAATTAGTTGATTATGAGTAAGTTGACACGTTAGATTGTTTGTTGCTTCTAACCATTATCATTTAGTCAAATGAAACTGTGTTATGTTTTAGATCCATTAAAAAACTTCGTAAATAAGTTATTCGAGGTCTATCTTCACCCTGGATATTGCTCTGGTAAAAATCCAAATTATCCATGATTATAGAAAAAAGGTTGTTTGTTCCTTAATTTTTATTTTTATAGTTTTTGTTGACTGATAAAAATGTCGTTGTGTAAAGACTGACATACGTCCATATAGGGGTGGGACGATTCTGGATACCCTGAAATTTCAGAATATCCGGATCCGGAATCGTGACCTCCGGATATCCGGGCTCTAGGAATCGTTCCAAAAATCAGGATATCCGCGGATATCCGGATCCGGATCCGAAATTAATATTAAAAATAATTAAAATAATTAATAAATAAATAAAAATATATTTTTAAAAATTATTAGTTAATATTTTAAATGGTACTTTTTAATTATAAATATAATTTATTATAAAAAGAACTAAAATCAATTTTTATATATATTTATTTATATAAAATTAGTTTAATAGATATATAATATATATGGTTTTAATATATTTAATGCGTCCGGATCCGGATCCGGATATCCGGACCTTAAAATTTTGTTATCCGGATCTTCTTTTCACGGATCCTAAATTTTACTATTCTTATCCGGATCCGGCTTCCCCGGATATCCTAATTTTCAGAGCGATTCCG